TTATTACTGTGGAAGCAGGAGTAGTTCCATAGAGCTAATCCTGTGTTTGATGAAGTGGAAAGGCAGGAGGAGGGAGCCAGCCACTCTGGCCCTAAGGACACTATTTCACCAGTCACTTTATTCACTTCCTCTGTGTCCCTTTGTAGAAATATTTTCTCAGTGATGCCAACCATGTCCAGCTGACCCATTATGGGACCAGATTCAGCCTCTTTAGGAGCTGGTCTGCTTTTTAGTAGAATTACTGAAGTTATTAATGCATTCCAGATCTGAATTTGGCTGTGGATTATTTTAATTTTCTCTTTAATATTAAAACAAGAAATACTAAAACAAGAGGATCTCTTGATCCTCTTCTGCCCCTCAGGTCGTTGAGCCACAGTGTGTTTGAAGAGAGTTATCAGCACTTCCTGATGTATTCCAGCCATCTCCATGTTTGGGAGACCTTTGGGATGGATTGCACTGCAGAATTCCTCATAGGTACCTTGTGGAAATGTGAGGAGTTAAATAATATGTAGAAGGACCTCACCTGGTGATCTTGCTTGACTTTCTTGGTGTTTTCTTATTCCTAGGCTCCCGAATTGCCAGTTGGCTGCCCAGTTTTTCTGTAGAAGTGATGCATACTACAAACATCCTTGGAATTTCCCAAGCCAGCAATTCCCAGCTTAATGCTATGGTAAGACTGCTTTAATGGTTTGCACCTCAGCCTTCTTATTTGTGTTGTGGGAGGGTTAGAGGTTCACGTAGATGGAGAACATAAGGGGGAAGAGAGTCAGAACAATGTTTAGATGCTACTTGAAAGCTGGTTTTGAGTGTGAGAAGTTTTATTTTAGTGAAATTAGGGCTTACACGTTGGTTTAAATGTGCAAACATCAAAAATGAGGTCTGGAGGTGGGGAAAAGGGGGAGAAAAATGACATGTACTGTCTGTGTTGATTGGCAGACTTTTTCTCAGCTTGTTTAGTGCAACATCTTCAGCTTTTTTCACTCTTGCAGTAAAGAGTGTGAGTCTGGAACCAGAGAATTTAGCTGTTGGTCCAGTGGGAACTGATCAAACCCTTTCTATAACTTTTGTTTTTTTCAGTATAGGAGTGTTGAGGATGAAATCCCAGGTTGATTGACTTCATGCATAACCACCTCATGTTGTACAAAAGAGAAGGATGTGGCTGATTCCTTTGAGTTCTTAAAGCTACTGTGTGCTCTGGCATGTCAATAAATGTTCAGTGGGGGATCTCCTGAAAGTAGTGACATTTTCTGAGTGTGAGATCTCTCCCAGAGCCTTCACTACTCTTTAAGCCTCAACAGGGTAAGGGCACAATTTTGAGGGGGCTTGGGGCAAGTGTAGGCAGATGATTTACTACCTAAATATGCAGGAACTCTCCATCTAAGGTCAGTTTAGTTTTACTGGACACAGTGACACAAATGGGCTTGTGTTAGGAGTAATGATTTCTTAGCACTGTGTATTATTAAAAGTGCAGTGGCCATTTATATTAAAACCCCTACTTAAGTGAAATTCTCCTTGAATAAAAACTGAATAAAAACCTAGGGAAGTATTTCAAGAGGATGAAATGCCAGATCAGTTGATTTGGTCACAAGTTGGTGCAATGGAGAGATGGATTTGCTAGATTTGCATGTGTTTAAACTCACTGTCATCTGCTGCATAACTTTTTGCTTTGCTTTCAAAACTCTTTCTATCCTTTTCTTCTAGTTCTCATGCCCCCCAAGCTTAGTTAAAATACAGATTTTAATATTTAATGAAGTCTAGCTGTTGGACTCTAAAAACATTATTATTTGTCTGCCCTCTTTGATCTGTTTAATTTGGATATTATTTAAGTACCTTGAAATTCAATAATAACAGTTCCCTGACAACCCAGTTTAATTTGCTTGGGCTTCAAGGCCCTATTAAACTGTTTTGTGAGCAGAGTGGCTGCAGAGAGTAGTTTATTAAAACTTAATCCACTTGTCCTTACCAGTATTGGGCACTTGGGACCATTTCTTCAGTTGGGATGAAGAAAAATTCTTCCTTTTTTTTCTTTTTCCCCAGAGTTTCTGTCAGTCACTCATGAAATTCATGTAGATCTTTCAAAGGCTGTCATAAAAAGGGGGTTTTGAAGCCTTTATGCATCTACAAGCACTGATCAGCACCATGAATTTTCAGGATCATGGGGTTTCACCATAGGAGTTTTGCTGTTGGCTTCAGTGGGGTGAAAATACTGCCCAGGAAATCAGTGCCAATGTGGGTTTTCTTTCTCTTGGTTTTCTTTCTGCATATGGACTATCATATATCACATCACAAACAACATCTCTGAGCTGTTCATTTATTTAAATCTCATTTCTGTTGATATACTTATCAGCTAGCAAGGTTTTTAACTTCTGATACTGAGTGTATAAACCTTCTTTTCTCCAGGCCCATCAGATTCAGGAGATGTTCCCTCAGGTTCCTTATCATGTAGTTCTCCAGGATCTGCAGCTGACTCGTTCTGTAGAGATCACCACTGACAACATCCTAGAAGGACGTATCCAGGTACCTTTCCCCACACAGGTGAGTCACAAAACTGCACCTAAAGTGACTTTTTTACCACTTACTTCCCAAACCTGTTAATAGTGAGTGAGGGGAATGGGGTATGTTGAAGCACTGGTGAATCCAGCTTTGCTGAATGCAATATTATCCTTCAGGTTTTACTTGTAGGAGGGTGTTGGAAGCACTTGAGTAATTCTGGCAGTCTGGTGTGGGTTTTATCTCCATGTTGTAGGAACTGACTGAATTAGAATGTCTCACAGTGCTGTGTGGTTGAGGTGAACCCATCTGTTTCCTGCTCTGCCCTTTGGAAGGCCTTTTCATGCCTTAAACTGGGTCTGAGGTGTGCTGTAGCATTATCCATTTGTAACAGAGGGTGTTTTCCTTCTGAGGAAAAGTCAGTCTTTTGACTCTAAAAAACCCATGCCCTGGAGCTTGCACCTGATGGATGTGGTTGGGCTGCAGGATACATGAAGTGCTTGCCTGTAGAGTCTCAAAACACATGATATAGTGCCAAATTCTAGTAAAAAAAAAACCCTTAGGGTTTGTTTTTTCTTTGTTTCAATCTCTGTAAATACAGTCTATTCAGTCAGTACCAAAATGACACTGAAAATGTTCCTAGCTAGGCTAGAGACAAATATTTGCTCAATTAAAGCAGCTCTTCTCAGTCACTCATGTGCAGAGCCTTTAGAACATTTCCAGTTGATTTCTCTGCTGACAGATAATTGAATTGGACCACTTAGGGAGGTTTTCTGCAAAGAAAGTAGTCAGCAAAATGATGCCTTGTTCTTAATTAGTGATGGCAGGTTTCAGTAAAGCAGTCTGGGGACAATGTTGCTGTTAATGAGAATATTGAATTCTGGCCCTGCACACATCAGATAGTGCTGTTATCTTGGAGCCTGCACGTGGGGAAGCAGAGAGAATTCTCTTTTCAACACAGGGCATCCTGGTTATTGCTAACTTAGCTCTCCCTAAATTAGAGCCAGCACGTGGGGTTGCAGAGGGCAGAGTTTGACTGTGTTCAGAGATAAAACACACTGAGCATTTCACACCCTGTGGTCAACCCGTGGTGTTTGCATTTCAGCATGCAGACAGCACCAGGCCTGCACTGAACAGCCCTGTGGGATGGCACAGTACTGATCAGGAGGACACTGAAACTGTCACCCAGGTAATTTGGCAGCAAAAATGAGCCAAAATCCCAATGAGAAGCTGCTGGGACAGATGAGTGTGTCTGGGTCTGTAGCAGATCAGGTTGGGAGCAGCCCTTCCTTGCATTTTCCACCAGAAGGAACAACTGAAGGGAGGCTTCTGCATGGTGCTCCTGTAAAGAGCTACCTTTGTGCTTTCCCTTTCCATCCTTGGAGGAAAGTGCTCTCAGGTGACACACAGAACATCATGTCTGTTCACATTTGGTCAGGGCCATGCTCATCTGTGGGATGTGAAGAGCAAAATGCTTTGCTCTTCCCATTGTGCACATACCCAGACACTTCCCTTAAAATGAGCACTGTTTGTCTTCAGGGTATAAGGATTCTTTTGTGTTCTGGAGGAAGCACTTGGAGACATGAGGAGTGGGATACAAACAGGGCCAAGAGATAACAGCACTTCTGTGTGTAAAAGCACAAGAAGGGGTTTTGCTCTTCTTCACCAAGGGCTTTATTAAGCAGCATGGGCTAGTTAAAATGTGGCAGGAAGAACTAAAAAATAGCCTGCAAGTAGAATAAGGGCTGGTTCTGCTTTTGTTTTCCCTGACTGTGGTAGCAAAATGACAAAGGTCTGTTTTATAAAGGTCTCTTTCTGCTGTTTAGAGAGAGGATTTGTGAGGTGTGTGACTTTCTGCCTCTGCAGCCTTTGATAACCTGAATAGGTAACCTGTTCCTCACCATCAGTGGCGCTGTGGCAGTTCCCTCTTCAGCAGGTTTGGAGACAGAAAACACCTCCATTTGGTTTGATGGTGCAGTGGAGGCTGAAGAAGTGGTGGGGATTGGTCCAGGTGTTTGGGAAGAGCCTGGGGTAGGAGATGCAGAACTGCAGGAATGAAAAATCTTGACCTACCAACTCTTCAGTAACTTTTTGGGTTAACTTGAAGCTCCAGCTTGGTCCCTGGTATTCCTGTCTGGTTCGCCTAGTTGATGGGAAGTAACATTTGGTGGCATTTTCTCTGTTCTTTGAGTAAAACCTCTCTCTAAGATTTCCTTAGCTTGGTGTTGGCTTCAAGTCTCACTTTGAATGACTGTGTTGTGTTCACCTTCCTTCCTGCCCAACACTGCCTGTGTCTCTGCCCTTCCTACAACAGAGCTTGAAATCCTGGGAGTTCATCCATCATGTCTTTGGAACACGTGCTCTTTCATAGTGACAACTTCTTGCTTGGAGTTACATCTGAGCACTTGGCTCCAAGGATGTGTTTGAGTTGGAGCAAATGGCAGTTTGGACAGGGAATAATAGCACAGTGTTAGCCTGGAGACACACCAACAGTTGGGAATTCCCCACAGCTGAGTGGAGCTGCTGGTGGCTGTGCCTGTGGGATGAGCTGCTGGCCTCTGTGCAGGTTTTCCTGGAGGGATAATTGCTGTGCCAAATGGGATTTGTAAGCAGAGGCTGAAGTGGGAGACTGAGGCTGCTGTGCATGGAGAGGGGCTTGTTGCTGGGTGGTCTCATGGAAGCTGCAGTTGCTGCTGTCCTGCTCCTGCCTCATAAATGCTTTGTGCATTCAGTGGTAACTTGAGCTGGCTTCAAACAAGCTGATCACCCTTGTTAGACAGCCCCAGAGATCTGTCTGCCTAGGAGTCAAACGTGCATCCTGCTATTGAGAGGATTTCTGTTGTGGAGAGAAGACTTGGGAGCCTGAGGCCATCCTTCCTCTCGGAAACTCCTGGCACTTTTGTGTCTCTTTGCTGTTGATTTCAGTTTTTAACTGGGTACCTGGCATATTGTAGGTCCTCTCTTTTCTTTCCAAAGACTGTCAGTCACACTCTGATCTGTGTTAAAGGTCTAGCAGCAAACAAGTTGCTGCAGCAGGTTGTGCTTGATTTTTTAAGAAGCTTTTTAAATGCAAGTGGGAGGGGACATAGGAAGCCATCATCATCTCCTCTGGGTGAGATGAATTTCCAAAGAGTGGACAGATAACTTCCCACTTTATGTCACAGTCCCTGAGAGACTGGCAGCTCTAGTTGCTTTGTGCTGCAACCTTAGTGTAAGTTTTACATGTGTTCATCTCTTTACTTCCTTTTTTAAAAATCAAAATACCCCCTGAGAATCTTTTTAGATCTCCAGCAAGTGCCAGACCCACTAGAGTTCTGCTTGTGGGAAAGAACATTTCCTAGGGGAGATTAGCATGATTTCTTTATGAGTAGGTTCTCTTCTCTGCCATATTGTGACTTAATTCTTTAGAACCCAAAGATCTCAAGATAGACATAATAACTGATTAGTTTTTCCCCCCCCAAGTGCAGTTAATGGTTTTGGGGCATCAGTGCTGATGTAACATAAGGGCAGTTGAGACACCTCTGAGCACCATCCTGGTATACATTGTGTTAAAGGTTTGAGAGATAATGCTCCCAACATTGACTGCTTCCAACACTTCTGCCCTGCGTGCCCAGCATCAGGAGATTGGAATTTTGCCAAAATAGGCAGAAGATGTACTTGTTTTGGAGGCTGCAGTGGTCATGCTTCTCCAGCTTGGTCCCTGGCATCCCTGTCTGCTTCACCTAGTTGATGGGAAGTGACATTTGTCTGGGTTTGAGCTCTCTGAAGGCAGCGTGTCAGGGTGATGGTGTTACTGTACATCTCCAGGGCTTTGGAATGACTCAACTTGTTTTGCACCTCACCTGCTGAA